AACAACACATCGTTGTAGTCATGACTACTGATTACTATACATATAGTAAGGTGTCCCTGCGTGGCACTGTGGGTTAATGCGTTGGACTTCAAAGTCAGTTTGAACTGCAAGGTCGGCAGTTCAAGCTCACCACCTGCTCCTTGGAAGCCCTCTACAGGGTTTCTATGAGTCGGAACCAACTCGACGGCACTTAACAACAACAACACATATAGTAATGAATACTTGGAGTCCTGGTGTCGCACTGTAAGATAAGCACTCAACTGCAAGGTCAGTTTGAACTGAAAGGTTCACGGTTCAAACTCGCCAGCCAATCCTTGGAAACCCTATACAGGATTCCTGTGAGTCAGAACCTACTGGACAGCACTTAACAACAACAAAAACAGTATATAGTAAATAGTAATTTAATATGTATGTGCTTGGTACTCTACCAGGCTTCACAAACCCAAAGATAAATAAATCAAAGGTAATCCCATTCTTCAAGGAATTCTCCATCTGTTGAATTCTATGGTATGCCACTAACTATATTAGTCTACTTTACATATAAGGGGGCTTCAAAAAATTCATGAAAAAATTCTATGATCTTTTCATTGTAGTTTTCCATATTTGTATGCATTTCAGTTTCACAATAGACTTGTGAGAGGTAAAGTTTATAGTTTCTAGGTTGGAACGTTCCAAGAAGTACTATAAATTGTCTAGGTGACAGCATTCCTAAGTAGAATAGTAGATTGTAACTGCTCTCAAGAGTTCCCAATCATTTCATCATTATCATCAAGATAAAAACAGTTAATCATGTGAGTTAGATGCAGGTTAGACAATCATGTCCATTCTGTGCTACATCGGTAGGCCTGCATTCAAACCCGACTTTGGCGTTTACTGCATAACTTGAAGCTATCCCAGTTCTTCATTGGCTAAGTGGGAGCATGGACACCTCTGAAAATTGGGACTCCTTCCCAGAGCCCTTTGCATATACCACTGTGTACAGTATTGTCACTTTATATTATAATCATTGTTTGCCCAGTGTCTCCAGTCCAGTATAGAGTGAGTACTTGAGGACCAGAATCTTTCTTTTCTCATCGTTAAATTTCTAGCATCACTGGCACTGCCAGGCATGTATTTGGTTTTTAGTAGAGGCTTTCTGTAAGTACAGTAGCTCCATCGGATAAATACTGGACTGCAAACTCCAAGGTCGACAGTTTGAACCCACCAGCTGCTGCATGGGAGAAAGATGAGGCTTTCTCTTGTAAGGATTTACAGCCTCACCAACCCTGTACAGGGTCCAGAACCGAATTGACAGCACTTAACAACAATAGAGGCTTTCTGCATGGGTAGATGCTTTGTTGTTGTTGTTGTTATGTGCCGTGGAGTTGGAACCGACTCATAGCGACCCTGTACAGGGTTTCCGAGGGTGTAAATCTTTACGGGAGTAGAAAGCCTCATCTTTCTCCCGCGGAGCAGCTGGTAGTTTCAAACTGTTCACATTGAGCAAAAAGTCCTATTAGAAAGAGGTGTGAGAAAACAGAGCAAGAGAAAGCTTCCATTAAAAAAACAATCAAATCGCTAAACAAGAATGGGAACATGAACTATTGAAGACCTATATAAAGTAAAGAGATTATTTAAAACAGTAAACTACAATTAGTTTATTTTTAATGCTGTAGTTTTCTTATTTTTAATATTACTTTGGGCTAATTTTATATTCATAAATCTGACAAATTAATTTGAATTTAGTTGGTAAATTTATTGACAGTATCTATAAACATGGAGTGCTGTGGCTCCATAGGATAAGCACTGGACTGCGAAAACAATGCCTCATGAGCACAATTGTTGCGTAATACTCATTCGCTGCAAGGTTGGCAGTTTGAGTCCACAGTTACTGCTTGGGAGAAATTTAAGGCTTTCTGCTCCCGCAAAGATTTAAGGCATTGGAAACTCCATATAGGGTTGCTTTGAGTTGGAACCGACTCGATGACACTTAACAACAACAATTATCTATAAACACTTATACTATTGCAATGGAAATATTTAGGTAATTATTAATGATAAGCTTTGGGATAAAGAACTCAGATGTTTAATGTGGGAGGAATCGGTCCAGTCTGGAGACTCAGCTTTGGTCTTGGCTGACTAATTGCACCTCCTCTCTCTGGGATTCTGTGGGTGGCACAAACAGTAAAGGACTTGGCTGCTAACCAA